CTTTCTAGATTTCCATACACGTATGCCTTAATGTCAGTTCGAAATGCAAACAACCAAAACCATAAAAACCACCATGTATAAATGTTGAGGCAAATTAAATGTTTATTTGAAGCCATAAAAACAAGGTAAAGATATATGCCTTATTGTCATTCTATAAAATAATATTTAGCCCCTGGGCTGGGCTGCCCTATTTATTTATTTTTCAGATAAACCCTCTGTAATATGAACTAATTATTGGAAGCTTCTTGAGGTTTCTTCTGTTTTAAGTTCTTACTTTTCTGTGATGGAGAGGAGACTTACCTTAACATGCCAAAATTAGTCTGCAAAGTCTCAGCAAAGATCCAAGAACATAACTTTCTGGTATGATCTGGCATTGCATAAGCTTGGAGCCCTCTTGAAATTAATTTAGTAAGGAACCAGAAAAATTCTCAGGAACATGCTGGTTGAAGTTTGATTCTGGAGGTGAAGACTTGGGGATATTCTTGGCTGAGGAGGTGCTTCAGGGATGGGAGCACGGTAGACTGAGAAGGTAATATTTCTGGTCTATTCTAGACAGTAGGGCCATAAATCAATATTGAACCTTTTTTTGATTTTTCCCTTCTGAACTGCAGGAGAGACAGAAGTTATGAAATAATTTTAAAGTCATTTCATCAACTGTTATTTTCTCTACAGATATTATTGCCAGTGAAGCACAGTATGACCTCCTTCCTTTTGGGGAGGAAGCTTTCTGCTTCAATCCTGCGCTTCTGCACAGAAGGGAAACCTATGTAGCCACAACTGACCACCTGTGTGTTTCTTTGGTTTGGAGAGCTGAGACGTATGATCCTCTTCCCCACTGTTATTCAGAGTGCTCTGTTTTTTAAATACCAGTGGAAAAATCAATGACCACAAATTAGAAAAAGAGAAACAAGTTAGAACCTGAATAATGACATTTTTGAGTTTCTGATGTGCCAAAGAAATGGGTCAAGTGAACCAGCATTGCAATCCCATACAGAAACCATGTAAAGAGAGGCTTCTAACCTTGGACCTCGAGAACAACCCCTGCTGGGGTCCCTGGCAAAAGGAGGCTGCAGTGGTAAAACCTGGAGTTGCCTGGTGATTGGAGGTCATGATTGGAAATGAGAAGTGTGATTCCAAGCCTGGTTTGAGGGTTCTGGCCAGTCCTGAAAGTTACCCCCCTTGACTGTGACTTACTGATGTCTCTGTCTATGGAATCAGCACAAACAAGCATTTCCAGTGAAGCCCAGTAGTCTTCATTCAGCATCATATTATTAGTGAGGCATTAAATTGCATATAGCGTAATGTGAATTGAACAAAGACCCATCTGAGTGAGAAAGCAGAATCAACTGGTTTTTGTTCCTTTAGTTGTTATTTAAGTTTCTGCATTTTCAAAATGTGCTTCTTCGAGCTCTTAAAAATATCACACATCAAGTTTCAAAAGGGAGGGGGGACTCTGCTGGCCACAATTCTTCAGTTCTGTCTCCCACCTGAGTCCTCCTAGGCCTTCCCACAGCCGAACAAGAGACACGGCTGTGCAGAAACTAGCCAGTAAGGAGGTTTAAGGTGTGTGTTTTAAATAGCTATGTGAACTTTAAAAAGGCTCACAGAAAATAAGCAACTTCTGTAATCCACCTGTTCACATTACAACTTCTTTCTCCTGTTGAATGTGTTACTCTCTGTCCTTGTTCCCCACCCCTTGGCATGTAGTCTGAAGCAGAAATGCTTTCCATATTTAGTCTGTCTGGGTCTGCTTCCTCTGAGACTGGCAGGTAGTTCAAATTTCGTTTCGGGCTGTGCTTGACGGAAAAAGTCCATCCTTAGTTCTTTTTTTCCTATTTATATCTTCTTTCTTCCCCAAGGTACTCTTTTCCTACCTCTGCTTCCCCCTTCCCTGTATCTTCTTGAATTTCTAGGTCAAATTTACCCTTTCCTAGTTATTTTCTCCTGTATCTCAGCTTCCCTAAACCTAATCTGTGAGAAGACAAGTTACTTTGGGAAATGGAACACAACTCCATTTCTGATATCCAACATCCCTTTTTCTTGCCCAATTTGACTCTAAAAGAATTCAAAGAAAATTATTCCAGATCTAAGATTAAGTATAAATTAACTATCTATCAACATGAACAACAGGGAAATTTCCCAAACACTATGTACAAATGTCTAGTTTCTTTGTCTTGCATATTTGTACTGAGAAAAAACTTTATGCTTATATTGGGATGTATAAGTCACCTGTGGCTCCTGTGTGGCCAAATTTGATGGTCAGTTCTGTGTCCTCATCTTACCCAACCTCCCAGCAGAGTTGTCTCACCTTCGGCTCTCCTTCCCACACCCGACCCCCTTTGCTCAATCTTCCTGGCTGACCCTCTCTTCTCTACTTCACATGTTTATGCCCCATGGTCAGGCCCACACCTTTCCTATTCTCCATCCAGACTCTCTCCTTGGGGATCTCACCTTTAAATGTTATTTATATCCTGAAGGCTTCTAAGTATGAATCATCAGCCCTACCTCTCTCCAAAGCTCCAGACTTCTACCAAGAGATCTGATTGTGCAGACATCTCCTGACATTTTCTCTTAACATCTCCTGAAGGTTACCCAACATCTCCTCTTCTCCAGTTGAACCACGACCAACCCAAACAGAACTCTTTATTCGCTCTGCCACTCACCTCCCCAACGTGTTTCTCTCTCAGCCTTTCCAATCCCACTAAGTGGCATCACCACCCACACAGTTGCTCAAAGTCACACCCCAACCCCACCTCTAATCCACCACCATCCCCTCTATCTCCAGAACACATCAGAAATCCATGCACTTTCCCAGCTCCACTGCCATCACGCTTGTCCTCTTTCTTGTGCTCATGACTGCAATACTTTCCAAAGCGGTTTCCCCGTGTCTACTCTTGTCTTTATTGTGGTATTTTTTTCCATACAGCAGCCAGAATAATTTAAAAAAATAAAAATCAGATTGTGTAATTTCTCTTCTAACCACGCCTCACCACACTGTCCCTTCATGCCTGCTCCTCCACCCCATACAAGCTCTTCTTTGCACTGTCCAGCACTTCACTTCCACTGTCGTCCTGAGCCTCTGAGGAGTTTAAGCCTCTTTCTGCCATCGAATTCCTTTCTCATAGGTGAAATGAGGCCAGAAATATTTACAAATCTGAAAATCTTTTAAAGTATTTATTACTGTGCAGGCAGAAAGCTTCCTAGGCCGCCCTCCCTTTTTTGAAGCGTGGACGGTGGGAACTCCAGGGACCAATGGTGATGTTTCTTTCTTATTATGTGATGAAGTTACTAGAGAAAGTTGGGAAAAGTAATGTGGACTCGGGGAGACGGAAGAGGATCGGTTGGAGAATAAGTGAGGAAGTAACGTGGCAGGCAGGTTTAAGAGGGGCACATAGTAATTTTTTTTTTTAATAATTCATGTTATAGTAAAATTTTATAAATTTGGTTATAGTAAAAGGAGTAATAAAATAGTACTAATCAGCATTATATTAGTAACTACACTATTTATCCCTGAATATATATAATCTTTCTGCAAAGAACTAAAAGTGGTTTAAAAAGCTCTAATGATATTATATTCCAGGGCAGCATGTTTATAATAGACATTAATTATATGGTATTAAACTAATCCACAGAGCTTTCTAAAGGTACAATAGGCTAATAAACCACCAGAAACCTAATTGCTACTCTAAGAATTTAGAATTAAAATTAGCTCAATGACAAGAAAAATTTTAATAGTAAAAGTATCCAGAGCACATTTTCTAAGGTGTAGTTTTTCACTGTAAGGAAAAATTAAAAAAAAAACACCAAATACTTACTCAGACCTTGTTCCATAAGTGTTTCTGTTAAATGTTCTCTTTTTCTTCCACATCTTATTGTATAGTGGCTTTCAGAGCCTTTTGTAAGTCAGCCACTAGAGAGCAAACTTCTTCTTTTTATCAGGCTGTCGTTTTATTTTAAAAAATACACCACACATATATCAGCACTCTTACAAAGCACATTCTCTCAGATGGTAAAATCGGATGATAAAGCTTCAGAAGGCCTGAGGTGGTGGGTATGGGGGATAGAATTGGGGAATTTTAAGGTCCTTTATATTAAATACAAAGGAAAGAACAAGATAAGATGCTGTGATGTTGAACTACCTTCCTAGAGTGAAAATGAAACCTTCTTCTAATGGAGCATAAAGTCTTATGTTTCATCCCATGTAATAAAATAGGATAGGTATTGTTTGGTCTCACAGGCATCTTGGAACTTTTTCCGGCAAGTGTTTCTAGAGAAGAAAAGATACTGTTTCCAGGTGAAATGTCCACAAATTACATTGTCATCTACCTTTACTGCTATTAGTTCCAGAGGCTTGAACCAGGCAAAAACCAAAAAACAAAAACCTGCCAGTTGAGGAAAATTCTCATCTATTGGACGGAATTCCCACTATTGACATCTTTTCCAAACAGATGTTGGTCCCCAAACACCAATACGTAGGCAGATCATCTGCTAAAGGAAGTCAGGGAACAGAAGAGGGAATGGAGGGAACAATGAGGGATTTAGTGCACATAGAAACCCCAACTTACCAGGCACCAGAGGGTTTTTCTCAGCTGGCCTTTTGGCCAAGATTTACTCACTGAGTAAAACTACTTTCTCTTCTGATGGACTGTTCGCAACTGGCTTTGTGCACACGACCCTAGGGACTCAAGGCTGAACAAAGTTGTTGGAAGGAAATTTCATCTTTGTTTTCCAGGCTTTGGAATATTTGAGGAGTTATGATCTATAATTTGGACTTTTTGGGTACTTTTACAAAATATATTTAACTGCTCTAGGTAGACTATAAAAGATATATAAGAAGGGAGATTTCAAAACTTTGCTAGGAAACACTTTCCAGGGTTTATCGGCTATTCCTTAGAATATTTTTCTTATATCGAAATGATTCGTGAAATTGTTCATATTTGAACAATTTGGCTGATAAAATGACAATTTCACAGGGTTTGACCTACTACTTGCTTCTGCAGGACCTCCTGTGAGAGGCCTCAGCACACATTGTTCATCATTTAATCAGCAACCAGCAATCATCGCATACCCACCAAGTGTCAGCGCAAGGCCAGTGCATCTCAACAAAGACGTCCATCGAACACTTCCTCTGCGCCAGGTGGGTGGTGCGCACTGTAGCAAACATTAGGGCAACCAGATGAGTCCTGTCTTTACAAAGCTCGTGTTCTAGTGTGAGAAGCTAACACGAATCACTCCCTGTAAGGAGAAGCAGACAGGGATACATTCCCTGGAGTTGAAATGCTATGAGAATAAGAGAGGATGAGATTCATTCCTGCCTGGGGCACCCCGGGAAGACTTCACTGTGAAGGTGGCGCGTGCATCTGGAGGCTGATCCTTACTTACATGGAGAAGGTGGTAATCTAACTGGGACTTGAAGGTTGCATAAGATTATTCCTACAATTTCTGTCAGATATCTGCAGCTGGGGTTGTCACTTTATCACTAGGTGGTCGAGTCTCTGAGGGCAGCGGTCTCTCGGTAACCACAGGAGCCTAGCACAGAGCAGAGTTCACGCCTGCTCCCGCGCCAGTGCAGTGCAGTGGATGAGAACACATTCTCTGCAGCCACACTGCCACTGCGTAGCTTTCTCAACCTGGATGCTTCAGTCAACTCCTCGGTGCCTCAGTGTCCTCATCTGTAAAATGTGAGTAAATAACAGCACCTATCTATTCTCTCCTTTGGAATTCAGACATGACTGAACATTTCCACAGGTCTGTGGGTGGGCTCAACAACCTTTTTCATTGATACACCATGGGAGCCCCCAAAGAAAGAACTAGGGAGAGCGGACTTAGGGAAGCGGGAGTCAGGCTGGCAGGTCTGGCTCAACTGAAGCCCCAGTCAATTAGGGGAGTCAAGCAGAACATCTGAGCAATGTAATATTTTCTTTTGGCTCAGTTCTGTGCACTGACTCTTGCAGTGTGTGCGCAAACTTTGGGTTTACAGCAAATAAATGAAATCCTGGAAGAGCTATTTTACCTAAAGCTCTCTAAAAGCCTGGGGATTGGTGGAGTTCCTTTCCTAGCCCTTAAACAGATTGTAACTCAGGGTGACGGGAGGGTAGAGGCTGGCTTTGGTCTATTGACGGCTCTGGAGGCCACAGGCCAATACTGTCAGTGTCAGGGCCCCAGGGCTTCTGCTGGGTGGCAGAGGTGCCTGGCAGATCTTCACCCAGCAGAAGCAGCAGCTTCATCTGATACCAGATGGCATGTTCCTGAGCACATTCGAGACAGTCCCTGAGAATGTCCAGAAATTCCTGAGGGTGGTAGCTCTTGGCATGAGAAGGGCCCTGTAATAAAAGTAGGCAGGTTAAAAGTCAGCGAAAGAATTGTTATCACCCAGTGCTGCCCAATTCGTATCCTTCAGGCTTTTGTGGTCTGGGGCACATCAGGTACATTAATCCTGATTGCAATCCAGCAATTTCTATTGTAAGTGAAGGTCAGAAAAGTTTTCAAAAAATGTTCCTCCTACCTAAGAAAGTAATACTTATTTACTTTTGTGGATAGTTAAAAAAATATGTAGAAAGATACAAAATTAGATTAAAATCACCATTATCATGCAGTGATGACTACTTTTCAGGTATTTTAAAAAATGTATTTTGATGTATTTGCATCCAGATTTTATACCAACAAGAGACATGTATATTAGGAATTGGCTAACTTTTTTTTTTTTTTAATTTATTTTAGTTTTGTGAATCATTTCTTTTATTTCTTTTCTTTCTTCCCCATTTTTTGTTCAAATAGAGTGGGAGGGAGAGAGAGAGAGAGAGAGAGAGAGAGAGAGAGAGAGAGAGAGAGAAGGAGAGAGAGAGAAACATCGATGTGAAAGGGACACATCAAGTGGCTGCCACCCCCACGACCAACGAGGGCCAAGGACAAACTGCAACCTAGGTACATGCCCTTAGTGGGAACTGAACCCGGGTCTTTCTGGACCGCAGGTCGATGCTCTAACCGCTGAGCCAAACCGGCCACAGTGAGAATTGGCTAACTTTTTTAAAAGATATATGTTTTTATTGATTTTTTTTTAGAGACAGAGAAAGAGAAAAACATTTTTATAAGAAAGAAACACCTATTGGCTGCCTCCCAGGCATGTGCCCTTACTGGGGATCGAGCTCCCAACCCAGGCATGTGCCCTGACTGGGAATTGAACTGGGACCTTTTAGTCCATGGGACGACACTCAATCTACACTGGCTGGGTGGAATTGGCTAACTTTTGAAAATTTATCTAAATAGCTATATATTACTATAAAAATTTTACAAATTTGTATCTTCTTTTTCTTTTCTTTCCTTCTTTTTTTTTATCTTCACCCGAGGACATTTTTGCATTTATCTTCAGATAGAGTGGGAGGGCGAGAGAGTAGAAGAGAGAGAGAGAAACATTGATTCGAGAGAGACACATCGACTGGTTGCCACCCACAAGACCCCAACCTGGGCCAGGGACAAACTGCAATTGGTACGTGCCCCTAGCGGGAACTGAACCTGGGACTCTGGTCCACAAGCCAACACTCTAACTGCTGAGCCAAACTGGCCAGGGTTTTATCATCTTTCTCAGTTAACGTTATATTTTGAATATTTTTCTATATTCACTATTATAAAAATATGATTTAATATGCATATTTCTTTACAGAGGTTACTATAAATGTTAAGTCATTTACATTTTTATTAAAATATAATATGCAAATATTATATGCAAATGTTCTACAAAATGAAATCGTGGTAAATGTCATAAAAAATAATCAAATTCCTTCTCTACTCACCCTCACATATTTTTTTCTTATCTCAAGAGGAATTACTTCCAATTCTTATATAGCAGCCTTTTTTGATATTTACCTCCATATTTTAAACTAATGTTAATATTTTATTATTTCTTCATTTGCCCAGTTTAGTACATAAAGTGAGGACTTTGCTTACTGTACCCTCTCTTTCTTGAATCTTCTTAATGTAATTATATTTTATTATTTAGTTAAATATATGGTATTTTCATGATAATTATATGAGTACTGTCTATTACCAATGTAAGTAATATGCATGACTATATTTTCTTTCTTGTGTATTTTTTTTCTTGGAATTAATAATTGTCATGTTCATTTGCGTTAATTTCTTTGACATGTGTTAAGTCTCGCTACCTTTCAATAGCTCTGTAAAATGGCTCTCTATACAATTTTCCACATGGCCAAACCTGTCATATAATTTATCTGTTCTATTTTATTCTGCAAAATTCCTTTTAAGGCCTCTGACCTCTGGCTCCATCCTGGACTGCTTCTCCCTAGGCAAGGAGCCTGTAGATTTTTAAAGTGGTGAACTATTATCAATTGTTTTATAAAGCACATACCTCCAATATTTGTATTATTTATTTGTTTATAAATATATTTTTATGTAATAAAGTAATATGTATATTATGGATCATAAACAAAAAAAGAAGTTTTTGATAGACTAACATAAAAATAAATTTTTAAAAATGTTTCCTTCTTGTGCCCCCAGTGATTGTCTTTCACTCGCTGGGGTGTGAGGCCACTGCTCTAGGCTTACTCACAGTGATTGTGCTGCGAGCTTTCTTTGCCATCAGTCTAGGAATTCCTTTGGGCTAGTTCTTGTGTGAGACCTCGCTTCTTGGATTCCATGTTTCCTTCCTCTGAGTTCTCACTCTCATTTGGATGTAGCTTCCTAAGAAAAGGTGCAAAGGAGATTCATTTCCTGAGATTTTACTTGTCTAAAAAATGTCTTTATATAAGAGAATAAAAATACAACTGAGGAGAAAATATTTGTAAAACACTTATCTGATAAAGGATGTGTGTCCAAAATATACAAAGAGCCCTCAAATCTCAACAAGACAGCAAATAGTCCAGTTAAAAAATAGGCTAAAGATCTGAATAGATACCACACCAAAGAAGATATACAGATGTCAAATAAACATATAAAAAGCTACTCAAGATCACTATGTCAGTAAGGAATTGCAAATAAAACAATAATGAGACAGCATTCCATAGCTATTAGAATAGCCAAAATCTAAAATGCGAAAATACCAAACGCTATAAGGTTGTGCAGCAATAACTCTCACTTGTTGCTGGTGGGAATGCAAAATGGTACAGTCATTTTGGAAGACAGTTATATATGATCCAGCCATCACACTAGCTGGTGTTTACCACAATTAAGTTGAAGATTTATGTCTACACAAAAGCCTCTATGTAAATATTTATAGCGATTTGATTCATAATTGCCCAAACTTGGAAACAACAAAGATTCCTTCAATAGGCGAAATGGATAAACAAATTGTAGAACATCCATAAATAAAAAATTATTTAGCAATTAAAAAAAATCTATCAAGTCATGAAAGACATGAAGAAAACTTAAACACAGACTGCTAAATGTGAAAAGCTAGTCTGAAAAGGCTATGCACCATATGATTCCAACTACATGACATTCTGAAAAAGGCAAAATTATAGACAGTAAAAACATCAGTGGTTGACAGGGGTTTGGAGGAGAGAGAGAGAAATGATTAGATGGAATATAGGGGATTTTTAGGCAGCGAAACTACTTTGTTATGGATATACGACATCATATTTGAACACGAATGTATGACACAAAGAGTGAAACCTAATGTAAACTACTAACTTTAGTTAATAATAATCTATTACTATTCATTTCTCTATTATAACAAATGTACCACATTATTATAAGATGTAAATAATAGGGAAAACTATGTGGTTGGTGGGGAGAAAATGGGGAAGTGTGAGGGAAAGCAATATATAAGGACTCTCTAATTTCTGTAAACCTAAAACTGCTCTAAATATAAAGTCTATTAATTTAATTGATTAATTAATTAATTATTTTGCAGTAAAGCAAACAAGAATTTACTGGCTGCAACAAAAACACACTTAGGACAGTGACACCAGGAAAGGCTTAGAAGAAGCAACAGGAGAGCTGAGGCTGGGCCGACTTGGCTCACTGGGAAGTCAAAGAAAAGGGGGCCTTGGAGACAGATTCAGGAAATTAGCCTGGGATGAGCTGTTGCTGCCCAATGCTCCTTTGCTTGCAATTCCTGTGGGGTCCCTTACAGGGAAGAAGTGGGGAAGAGAATGCATGGGTGTGCTCCCCTGGGGGAGAGTGCCCCAAAATTTATTAGTTTTAAAAAGCCTTTATACTCACATATGATTAACAATTTGATTGAGTTGAGAATTTTAGACTAAAAGTCATTGTCGTTCAGAATTTTTGAGACATTGCTCCATTGTCCTTTAAATTTAGTGTTAGAAATCTCATGCCATTTTATGTTGTGATCCATGGTATAATTGTTCTCCTCTTCTCATTCCATCCCCCAGAACCTTTCAAACTCTTTATTTTTAGTGTTTTAAATTTCATAATGCAGGTCTTTATTTTTAATATTAACTTTATTGGCTTTTTAATCTGGAGACTAATGCCCAGAAGTCT